CAGTTATAACTAAAACAATAAATCAGTTAGAAGTAAGTTCAACAGTGGGTTCAACATTTTGTGGTTTGCTTAACTTTTGGAGAATTAAGTTTGCCTAATTGGCAATAATATACAGTATTTCTGTTTGCTGCAAACCCACAGATGAACTGAAAACTATCATTATATTGCTTTGAAACGAAAGTCAAAACTCAATGAGATGAATTCCAGGCAAGTTCTAGAGTTAAATTTGTTTTTTGTATAATTTGTTTCTACACACACGAATTGACATTGATGTGATTCTGAGTTTTGGATGTTAATAACACAAAAATGAGCTCATTCAGCTGGTTTGGTTTAAAGAATGTAGCTAATAAGAAAGTCATTTTTCAAGTAGCTCTGAGGAAAAGAGCTTGGAGACCTGTGGTGTATGGTCTGTGTACAGATACAAATATTTATGGAAGAAGTTAAACTAATAGGATAAAAACCACATTGATTAATACAATGACTTAATAATAACAATGATAATAATTAGAAGGCCGCTCAGAGCGTGCATACCTATAGCCAAGGCCAACATCCTGTCCCACCATTTTAAAGAAAGTGACACTTCATCCTTCCACAAAGTTTCTGGAAAATCGGTTTGGCAGTTTTTGTGTAATCCTGCTAAAAGAGAAACTGCAATAAAACATCACCTCTGTGGCCGAGATAATAACCAACCTAATAAAATGAACATTTCCCTTCCACTTTCAATTTTTCAAAGTCGCTCTCAAAGGGAAAAGGTTGCAGACCCCTGATGTGTGGTCTGTATACAGATAAAGGGGCCTGTCTCATTTGTAAGTATCTATTGAAGAAGTTTCTCTGATGTCAAGCTTTATTGACATTATTGTTCACCACGATTACTTGTCCTGCATTTTAAATGGAATGATTTTTTGTGTGGCCCTCTGAGCGGCTGCTTCTTCACTGGCATCAACATTCATCTTCTTTTTAACAGGTGGGTTCAGCCTGCTGAGCTCACCTGTGTTTGACGCTCTGTGCTTCTGTCATGGCAGATATTTGGTCAGTCCTCAAAACCTGGCAACACCTCAGATTTGGCTCTCGGGTGCTCTGGTGGAGACCTTGGGCCTTTCGCTCACTGAGGCTTGTAAAACTGTGTCTGAGTTGTGCCCGGGGCATTCAGCTGTCCAGCTTGGATAGAGTGAATACCCATTGTGATATAATACACTTAGATTTGATTGCCAGCTTCACACAGACAATATCCAAATCATATTATACAGTCTAGCCCAAACCCCAAAGGATTACTGGATTCTGGCTGGAGCAGATTGTAGATATTCATCGTCTGGGACTCCTATCTGAGTGCTGGACAATCCACAAAGAGTTTCATCATTGAGAACCAGCTGGTTGAGGCTGCAGAATGGATGGAACATAGATTCTCTTGTGCCCCGAGTGGGGATTGTACAGTCTGATTGGAGATTAAACAAAAAAATTGCCTCCAGGCACCTGTAAAGTTTACTGGAAGACGTTTTGACTTTTAATCTTTGGGCTGGACTCCTGTGTGAATTCATGTCTAACAATCTCTCCATCCTGTTAATCAAGGTGTTGACTATTACCACCTGCAGAAGTGACTGTAGCTGAAGAATGCGTCTATGTTTGCTTTGTCCAATATTCCTCCCTCCCCTTCAACCTGTGCCAAGAAGGCAGCAGTAATAAGCTCCACATTTAGGAGCCTTTGCTCAGTTCAGTGAGTCCAAGCATTCTGTGTTCAAGCACAAGTGTTTTAGGGCTTTTTTTTTTCCTTGTGGGGGTCCAGCCCAACATCTGAGCGACAACACCATGAACTGGGCCTTCCTCGAGGGTCTCCTCAGCGGGGTGAACAAGTACTCAACAGCATTTGGTCGCATTTGGCTTGCTATCGTTTTTATCTTCAGGCTTCTGGTTTTCCTGGTGGCTTGCGAGAAGGTTTGGGGTGACGAGCAGAAGGACTTTGATTGCAACACTCGTCAGCCCGGTTGCCACAACGTCTGCTATGACCACTTCTTCCCCATCTCTTACACTCGCCTCTGGGCTCTCCAGCTGATCTTCGTCACCTGCCCGTCCCTTCTCGTAACTCTCCACGTGAGCTACAGGGAAGACCGCGAGCGCAAACACCGGCTGAAGCACGGGGAAGACTGCACCCCTCTGTACGATAACACGGGCAAGAAGCGCGGGGGTCTCTGGTGGACCTACTTCTGCAGCCTGCTATTCAAGATCACAGTGGATGGCGTGTTTGTCTTCTTGCTCTTCTACATCTACGAGGCCACTTTCTTCCCTCCACTGGTCAAATGCAATGAAGCGCCATGTCCGAATATGGTGGACTGCTATATCGCCAGGTAAGAGCACCTCTGAAATTCTAAATGATAAAGATCCTGGAATCTCATTGGCTGGATTCGGCCTCCTTTTCTTTATAAGACTGAATCTTAACACAATACTATCTCTTACCTATGTCTTTTCCAGGCCCACTGAGAAGAAAATATTCACCATCTTCATGGTGGTCACCAGCTTTGTGTGCATCTTCCTCACTCTCTGCGAGATCTTCTACCTGTGCGGGAAGAGGTTCTGGGAGTGTTGCAGAGGAGGCCCGCGATCCGCGAGAGAGAACTCCTTCATGATGGTCAGAACTCCTCTGACAGGACGAGAGAACTCGGCGTACAAAGAGCCTACCCTGGAGAAGCCGAAGATGGAGGAGAAGGGCAACGGAGAAGTTGGCAAAGAGAGTTCAGCTCCAGCGTACAGCATCGCAGTATCCTGAGCGACCTGTGCGTCCCAGTTTGGCTTAAGAGAACAAAATAAAAACCAAAGAAAAATCTTCAGTTGATTTTGTACTGTTGGCTAAAATGTTGGCTGAAATTAAAGGCAGTTTTTAAGAATTGTTGTTTACAAAGGTCAATTTTTTGGTAACAATTTTTGGAGATACATAATGTTTTCATTCTGTAACGTGGTTGAGCTGAATATATAAATATATCATACTTTTTATAAGCTTGTGATCTGAAATGACTGATAAATATTAGACCTGATTTATTTTGTCTATTTATATGATTATATTATTTTATTATCCGTTTCTACCATGGCCACAAAATAATTTTGCTGGACTTGCAGTGTGAACATTAACAAAAACATAAATATACATAATTATATATATATATATATATGTAAGAGCAAACACAATGAGCAAACACAATGTCATGAACTAAGCCCATAAATGAAGATGTCTAGATACCTGTAATATTTTCCAAAATAAATGAGTATCATGTGAAATTTGCTGTTGCCCTCTCTTCTTCATTCCTGTATGAAAATTTGCAAATATTAAACTGAACTGACCTGTGTATCATACACTAGTAATAATACTTATATTTCTTTACAAGGTAGATAAATAGGGTGCATTAGTACGGAGTATAATGATTGACTACAGATTCAGAGAGTGGATAAAAACATTTGTTCTATAATCAGAAAAACCACAACGTGACGTTCCAACCTGACTTGGGTACAGAATGATCAACGTGTGTTTAGTGATGGGAGTAGCATTATTGACTAAAGTTGATAAAACCACCGCTCCTACACTGAGTTTCAGACCAATTAACCATCCTGTGTTCCTCAGAACAACAGACCGAGAGCACATTTGTAAAGGGCAGTATCATAAAGCAGCGTGTACTAATAAGGCAGTGCCTGTTGTACATTCTTACCTGATAAAATGAATGTGTGATTATCTGATTCTGAGACAAGGCTCCCCATATCTCAGGTGTTTCTTAATAGAGGTGCTTGCTCAAACAAATGTTAGGTGGTGGCCTTGTTTAATCCTGATTAATCAAACGCTACAAAGAGGCATATCTCCACATCGCAGTGGCTTAATGGAACTGATATGAAGTGACCTGTGGAGAAACGAGGTGAGCAGAGCAGGCAAACATCAGAGGTGTAATGTGGTTCACTTGTTGAGCATTGTGCCATATCTGCCCTGTCTGGTTTTAATATGTCTGGTTTTACTTCCTTCTTGTTTAGCACTTTGCAACATTTTTAATAAAAGTGCAATAAGTTTCTTCTCCTTATTATTATAATAACCCCTTTGTTATTAGCACAAACTCATGCTCAGTCACTGAATTCCTTGTCTGCTCATAGCACTGACCACCATGTAGGTGAAATGTATTTACTCCACAGCCATAGTAGAAGTTGAGTTGAGTTTTACATCAGTGGTTCCTGAAGTCCTCGACTCACCTCGGTGTGAGTTCAACAATAAATTGTTGGCAAGAGAAATAAAAAAAAAAAAAAAGTATCATAAGAGGCTGGAGTTTAAATGGGAAAATCAGGGTGGATCCCGAAAGTGACCACACCTCCAGATTATGGTCAAGATTTGATTCTTCAGCTCAGTCAATGTTGGAGAACCACACTAGGAGAGAAGTTCGCTGTGGAACACGTTCCTACAGTTCGTCTATTTCCAACACATGATGGACTGAGTGGAAAACCACACTTCTTAAGGTTGGCAAATAATTTTTTGTGATGTCTTTTGAATTAATATTTTAGCTCAGTCATATTAAGGAAGACTTTGGATGTTGATTACTGTCATTAAGTGGAACCAGGGTACAGAGAATTTAAAAACAACTTTCATGCAAACTTTAGCCTAAACCTTCCTAAAGATGAGGGAAGAGGCTAAAACCAAGTATTTATGTGTCCCAGGGAAGATTTTTTTTGCTGATCAATTATTGATGGCATCTCTCTTCAAAATACCAAATGTAATTAACATTTTTAACCATGAGAAGATGGCAAGATAAATGAGTTTTTGGAGTATCAACAAAAAGTTCCATCACAGAGATTAAAGAAATACTGTGCGATGACAGTCAAAACAGATTATAGAATATTGTGCAGAATTAAAAGAGATTGTATATGTTTTTTGTATTGTTTTACTAAGTTTGTCTTTGTCTTTTTATTGTTCCACAGCTCTGCAGTTCATATAGTTTATAAAGACAGAGAGCTAAACAGTCACAGGTCAAAAGAACTGAATCATGGATTGGAAGTTTCTCCAGGGTCTTCTTAGTGGAGTCAACAAGTACTCCACAGCCTTTGGACGCATCTGGTTGTCAGTGGTCTTCGTCTTCCGGGTGATGGTCTTCGTGGTGGCGGCCGAGCGTGTCTGGAGTGACGACCAGGGACACTTTGACTGCAACACCCGCCAGCCGGGTTGCACCAACATCTGCTATGATTACTTCTTCCCCATCTCTCACATCCGCCTGTGGGCCCTCCAGCTCGTCTTTGTTACCTGCCCCTCGTTCATGGTGGTGCTACACGTGGCCTACCGAGATGAGCGTGAGCGCAAGTACCAGGCCAAGCACGGGGAGAACACCCGGCTGTACGACAACACGGGCCAAAAGCACGGCGGCCTCTGGTGGACGTATCTGATGAGCCTGTTTATCAAAACCACCTTTGAGGTCACGTTTCTGTACTTGCTCCACTACATCTACGACAGCTTCAAGCTGCCCAGGAAGGTCCAGTGTGATGTCAGTCCCTGTCCCAATTTGGTTGACTGCTACATCTCCCGACCCACGGAGAAAACCGTTTTCACCTACTTCATGGTGGGGGCGTCTGTTGTGTGTGTGGTGCTTAACATCTGTGAGATCTTCTATCTGATTGCGTTCCGGATGGTGACTCTCAAACAGCGAGGCAGCGTCCACACTTCATCAAGAAGGATCCACTCAGGCACGGACTGCAAGTCCTCTCTTACATCCTAGCTGGAGAGCCAGTGTGGAAAATCTAAATGTCTTAATGTGCCTCTGTTTGATTAAATATTTGAATGATCTTTTCTCCATTAAAGGATAGGTTTGCTTTTGTTCACGTCTGACTCATTACAATAATCACAGTTTTATGTTCACATTAAAGTAGCTGTTGTCCCTGCTGTCCATATTATTCAAATGGTTCAGGATTTCTACCTGGTTTGTCCAACTCAGAAATAGAACCTCAGCTGAACGTATTTTCTCACAGGACAGGGATGGGAGATTTTGTCCCACTTTGTCTTGACATTAGAAAATAATCTCTACATGGCTGTCATGGATGAGAGGAATAATTACAGTAAATTATTTTAAGGAACATTTGGGCATGTGTGCATTGTTTTAAGACAGATGTGAGGTGAAAGTCTGTGACAATATCCCTAAAGGTTATTGAAATGTTTAATATCATTTTCTATTTTACCACATATATTTTATTCTATCAGAATTATTTTCTGTGTAATAACAGATCATCAAATAAAAGGAGACTTTCATGAATATGTAACCATTGTCAATATATCTTTGACCAAAACTGAAACAATTTGTTATTTGTATTAACAATTTAAAACCACTGAGAATAAAGTTTTTTTCTTGCCTGTAATAAATCACAGTAAACGCTTGTCATTGAGAAAGAATATCTGCTCTCTTCTCCTGTAATGGTGCCAATTTCCCACCTAGTGGCGCTAAAGGCCTATAACATTATCACGTTCAAAAGGTTCCAACAAACATGATCAATACAATGATCCCATTTACCTCGTTGAGTTATTTTGGGATTGCTCACCAAATTGTCAACGTTGAATTACTACAATATCAATTAACTATAGAGCTGTGATTAGTAACTTTAAAGTAAGTTTAGTGAGATTTGAATCGTTTCCTGCCTCTGAAATCATGTTCTAGCTGAAATATATATATATTTTGCCTAATGTATTGTTTAGTTAAACGATGTCAGTATTGCAAAATGTCAAGTATGTCATTTGTTTAAAATACACATCTGTCATGTTTCTCCAGGCTTTGATCCAGGTGTTAACCACAACACGTCACTTTTACTACTACTACTACTACTACTACTACTACTACTACTACTACTACTTATAATAATAATAATAATACAAATAATAATGATAATAACAAACACCTTTATACGCAAATTAATTGGTTTTATACTATTTTATGAGGTAATTCCGTATTTTTTTCAAACACACAAAAACCCAGCACGTGCACTTGCATCTAGGTTTTTCGAAATTAATCAATGACGGGTGACAACTTTTCAAAATAAAAGCATTAGATGCTCCACCTTGTAAAGACTATTTAATGGAGTGGTTTAAAGAAAAAACAACATAGAAAGATTCAAAACATATGTATGGTGCTGTTTTTCCATTACTTCTCAAACTTTACTATAGTACTTTTTAATGGTTCTTTATTTATCCTTCTGATAAATCGACAGTCTGGGAGATCAGATCCAGTTTTATTGTGATAGCTGAGGTGTTTGTGTGTGTTTCCTGTTGTGTCACATTGTTTGGGGAGAAGAGCAGATCACCGTGAGAGAAGTCAACTCTCTGAACACTTTAAACGGATGGTGATCTGACACAGTTATGGCTGCTGCAGGTAATACATGTACATTTAAATGGGTGAGACGTGCAGAACGTGTTTGTGGAGGTGTTGTTGTCTTTGTGCAGGTGAGTAGTTGTGGGGCACAGCTGTCAGAGGATGAAATCTCAATATCTAGTGAGGGAAACTTTGATCTGATCGCAGGTCACTGAGGTTTAATCCGTTTCTTTACAGATCAGATGTGTAAATTAACACGTGTATCAGAGTGATCATTTATATATTCACTCTGATGTTCTCACCAGCAGCCTTTGGCCTACATGTTTAAAGTATGTCAGGCTGAACAGTGTTAATGTGAACTGCTAATTGTCACCTCTGCACGTGGGTTTTCCCAATGCATGCAGGGATGTGAGACACATACACACACACACACACACACACACACACACACACTTGCATTTATATAAGTATATCAACTATTTTAACTGTGCAATACTTCTGTCCAGACAATGCAATGGCTCTTGTGCAATATGTTTCAATATTCTGTTTTCACTCTACATATTTCTGTTCTATTTCTTTTTCTTATATCTCGTAGCATTTATATTGCATTTTTTCTAGTGTCTATTTTTTTAATTGTCCTCTTTGCTGCTTTAACAGCAAATTGTCCTGTTGTTGGACTAATAAAGAATTATATTACCATCTCAACTCTCAAGGCCACTTAACTCTATCTTCAATATTCTCTATGTAATGTAAATCGAAGTCAAATTATTTGCGTGAACCAAGTTCAAATGACCATTCAAACATAACCACATTCAACAACCAGCTCAGATTCATTATGTAATGCTGCAGTTACTGGATGTCACGGATTCAGACACAAGTTTGTTGTTTTTCACGTGACATATTTTTCGCCAGGTTTCTGTTTGTCTGTTAAAGTTAGGCTTTAGTTCAACAGTAGATTGTTTTCATTTAATGTCTCACCTGATCTCATGTGTGCACTTTTAGAAAAACAGTGAAAGTCAACATTATTATTCTTTGTGCTCCTACACATGGATGGAAAATGTTGCTCTAATATTTTAAAATTTAATTTCAGTTAGTTTTAGAAGTGGCAAAGACAGTTTCTCCTCATTTTTCATGTAGTTTTTGTTTGGTGCAGTTCCAGTGTGTCACAGCCTGTTTTATCGTTATGTGCTCAGCAGCTAATCATTAATGCAGTTGACATCTCGGTGGTGACTTTCTGTGTCTGATCAATACCCCATGGACAACATGGACGATGTGACCTCATCCGAAAACTCTTTTCATTTTTTGACCTCCTGCAGCACTAACTTTCTCCTCCTCTCTCCCCTCCGTCATCAGGAGTGTGTTGTTCCAGGCTGGAGGAACCGAAGGCCCTGATGAAGATGGGTCTGTGCATGGTCCTTATTGGTCATGTGAACTTCCTGTTGGGAGCGCTGGTGCACGGCGTGGTGCTCAGACACATCAACCTCCACAAGCAGGCCCGGGCCATGGAGTACGCCATCTCCAATGTGGTGGCTCTCACCTGCGGCCTGGTGGTGAGTCGTCAGAGATGAGACGCCTCGCACTGAGACGTTCCACCCTGACTGTGGCTGCACGCCATCTGAACACCACAAGAACTATAAATGATCATTGAGTGCTGTTGAAATTCTCTGAACAAAAAGATCAATATTAAAACAAAGAGTTGTTTTGGCTTAAAGCCATAAAAGCCTCTCTTTAGCTGTTGGAAAATGCATTTTGTAAAAGTAGCATCAGCCTGTGTGTTAAATAAGGTCAATGTGGCTCCTTAAAAACCGAGTAGGACAATGTTTAATCCTGAAAATCATTTAGAATCTCACTCAAGCTGATCACTGGATCCCTCTTTTAATCAGGGTTACTAGTAATACCACATCCCTCCTCTTTTTACATCCCCCAAAGAGAGGTTATTCTTTCATCAGCGTTTGTTAGTTAGCTGGCAGGATTACTGAAAAACTGCATAAGTGATTTCTCTAAATTTAGAGGGGTAGGGAGTGACACAAGGAAGAAGACATTAAAGTTTGGAGCTGTAAAATGGCGAAATAGAGCGGCCTGGCGGCGGTATTTGCCCCCTGATTGTCCTTTTAATGGATATATTAGAGCTGGGCATAAAATATATATAATTATCAATATTGATAATTACCACAATAAATCTAACAATATTATTTTCTTTAAACTCTTCTTTATGAGCAAAGAATAAAAACACTTTGAAACATTTCACAAATCTGACTTGCTTTTGAAAGGAAAAGGTCGATTTATGAAGACTTTGTCAGGTCTGAAAAAAACCAACTGTCAAAACACACGCACACACAGCGGCACATAAACACATATTTGAAATGCTTGCAATGACACGCACAGCTGTGATGCTGAAAAAACCCCCTGTTATGACTTGTGTTGCTGCCTCTCCTGTATGGAGACCAGATGAAGAGTGTACGATGTGAGATCTTAGAGCTCTCGAAACCTGTTTTTTTGCAAGGATTTTTGCATGATCTCTGTCCTTTTATTTTTATAGATGTAGCATCTGTCTTGTGTCTGCAGGGAATCGTTGTTGGCATTCTGGCTATCGTCCTGTCTAAGAACAAGAAGAGTAAAGGCCTGGTTTGTATCACTAATTTTTTTTTCTACTTTTCACTTTTTAAAATCACATTTTAAAGTTCTCAAAATGTGATTTAAAAAAAAAAGAAAGATTCTTCTCATTTCACAGAAACCCCCTCCCTACTTTGCCAGACGACTAATACTAGTTTTCCAGCATTTCTCTCTGTCTGACTATTCCAGCTCTGCAGTCTTTGTTTCTCTCCCTCTCCCTCCCTCGCTCACTCCCTCCGGTCATGCAGAACGGCCTCTCCTCTCTGTTTAGTCAGCTGTCTGCTTGCTTGGACGGGACTGACGAGGCAGAATGAGTAAACCCGGGCAAACCTGCCACGATCAAACCACTCCCAGTGTCCCTTTGTCGCTGAGAGAAACTGTGAGGCGGGTGGGGCAGAGCTGACAAGCAGCAGGTTACCTCCTCATCCGTCTTGTTATCTTGTTTTTCCATGCATCATGTGGCCAGAATGAGACTTAATCTCAACACTCCCTATTTCGCCGCACATACCACTGTACTTTATCACAATGTGCAGGAGCTGCTACAGTCTCTAATCTTCTAGAACGTTTGTTTTATTCCTTATTGTTCTTATCAGGTTTCTATTGAACCGCTCAGTCATCTTCACGGTGGTCTGGAGACTTCCTGTGCCCTCGTCACACCTTCTGTAAACTTATTGAAGAGTTGGTCTCTCGATCCAGAATTTCAATTTGTCATTAAATCTTGTGCATCACTAATAGATTATTTCAGTTTGGTCAAGCTGCCATAATGCTACATCATACAAGTATGAGTCAGTCTGTCAATACTTATAGGCGTCCCTATGCTGGCTGTGGCAGCTGCAAGCCCATTGGCACCTGCCAAAGATGTAAGGAGGGGTCACAATCATAGATTACTTTGTTTGAGTCCAAATACTCTCATAAAATTATATTATTAGGTATTTTTTCACTCAGAAATATTCCTGGAACAATTTATCAATTTTTGGACCAACAACCACCAAAAATCCTCTTGAAAATTATTGGTTTCACATTAAATGTAACTTTTTTAATGTTTTGCCTGAAAAAGGTCACATAGCACTCTGTTGATGTTATTTAGCACAAATGCATGGATCCTACATGGGTGTGTTCAAAAGAGATTTATCATAGTGTATAACCTACATGTCCCATTTAATCCTGGTATTAACACATGATATTGACCTGGATGGATTATTTGTGTGATGACATGTTTGGTGACCTCTCCACTTGCACAGCAGATGTTTTGTGGTATACTCTGGTTACACTGAGCTGACTGCATTTGCACTTGGTGACATCATCAGGTTAAAGGTTCAGTGTAAGATTTAGGTGAAAGGGAACTATTTGCAGATATTTAATTTTGAATAATCCTCATGACGTTTTCACTAGTTTGTTTCATCTAAATAGTACGAATTGTAGTTTTCTTTACCCCAGAAAACACCTTTATATTCAAATACTTTATATTCACATTGAGGGGGTCCTCTCTCCAGAGGCCACCATCTTTTTTTACATTAGTCCAGACTGGACACACTAAACACCTTTTTAGTTTTCATGACAACTAAAGGCTGCCACAGGTTCTTTTTCATGTTTGGAAGGAGAGGGTGAGGTGAGGGGTGTTCAGCTGCAACATGCAACTTCAACACTAGATATCACTAAATTCTACACACTGTACCTTTAATATTTTCCATCTTCAAACAAAACAAGTGAGACGTTTCCTGGTGTACCACTATATACTGACACGTAAACAACATTATAAAGTCCTGTTCACGCTGACATTTATTTGTTTGTTTTCCTTTGCTTCCATAAAAGATTTTCCTTGAATATTAATCGATCATGTTGTTTCTTTGCCAATATGTCTCCCACAGACGTGGTCACTCTTCTCAGTCAGTTTGGTGTCAGCAGTCATGGCGCTGGCTTCAGTCATCGGACTCCTCGTGTCCGTGGTGAGGGCCATCATTCATGGCGGGCGGAGCCTCCTGACTCACTGCCGCTTCCCCGATGCCATCGGCTACTCCAGCATCACCAACGAGTGTCCCTTTGACCCCACACGTATCTACGTGAGTCTATTGAGATCACAGCGGCTTTCCTCTCATCAACTGGCTCTTTGAAGAGCGAACTGTTACTGCGGCATAGATGCAACAGAGCGGTCAATCCCTTGTGCGTTTGTGTGTGTGTGTGTGTGTACATAGGGTGTGACAGAAGGATGCAGTTGAAGGCTGAGTGTCTTGTTGTGTCTGTCGCTCAGTCAGCCACACTCTGCAGCCTGCGGGCTGGTGGCAGAAATGCTGACCTGACCCTGTCGGGTCACTTCAGACTCTGTCGCGCTCCAGTGTGCCTCAGACCGACTGCCAGGTCTGCTCAGCCACACAGCTGTTTCCACACAGCAGCACCACTTTGGCATTTTAGCACGACTTGTAATCTACAGTTTGTCCGTTAAGTGACCTATGGCGCGAGAGGTTAATTGCAGTCCCACTGTAGATACAGATAAATTGGTGCTATATCTAACTTGATAAATAATCTGTTAATACACATTAAGTATCTGTATAGCTGCGTAGAACTACATTAGTCTGTGTTACAAACCCTTATGTGTTAATGTATTCATCTGCATTTGTTTCTGTAAATGAAGAGAAAAAAGTGAGCAGTAAAATGTGTTCAGTTTTTTCACTGATGTGAGGTATAATTGGCATCAGTTAAAGTATGAACTCTTCATTTTACTTTGAAAATCCTCACCAAAATAAGACCAAAGTCACATTAAACCTAATTGGAGTCCCAAGTCAGAACGAGCACTGTCTCACATGATGTCACCTGAAAGTGTCTCGGGCTTCTGGCTCTGATAGATGCAGTAAAGATAGTTGGGCGAGGTTTTTTTTGTTGTTGTTTCCAAAGAAAACTCACAACGCTACATTCTCTTTGTAGCCTGCTTTTTCTTTGAATTCCCTCCGAGCACTTTTTACTCCGCCACACTCTGCGCTGCATATAATTTATTCACCACACTCTCCTGTGCAAACTCAAATTCCCACGGTTCGCTGCTGCAGAGGGCTCCACAGCCATTTGAGAAAAATACGATTCTCTGTCACCTCATTACCCGAACTGTTTCCTCATTTATGAGAAGCTGCTGAGCGCTCTTGCCTCAAATTGTGCTCTGTACGGTCCAGCTGGTGGTCGCTGCTAACTCCCCTCCTTCGTCCCTCCCCAGAGCACCACTCTGATCCTTTGGTTGCCTCTGATAGTGACCTGTATCACCCAGATGGTGTTTTCTGCCCAGTGCTTGGCCGTCTGCACCTCCTTCCTGGGCCTGCCGTGTTGTCGGAACCGGAAGAAATCAAAAGCCTATGGCAGAGCGGTGAGACACATTGTGCTGCTGAATCCCAGTGTACACGTTTTAAATGAGCCATATTTTAAAACTGGATTATATGTTCTGTTTTTGGGTAGATCAATGTGGTGAGGCCGATAGATGTAGAAGCTGCTTCCTCTCGCCACACAGAACCACCAAGTAGCTCCGGTGAACCTTCAACACGCTATTCTGAACCTCCTAGAAGAGGCTATAACCAACCTCCAAAGCGGAACACTGCACCCTCGAGACCGCAGCAAAGACCTCCTCCCCCTCTTCAGCGTCCTCCCCGTCTGCACCAGAGTCTTCCTCCATCCGAGAGGCGGCCCCTTCGCCAGCCGTACAGGGAAAGGTCAGACAGAAAGAGGCCGGAAATGAGGGCTGGCAGCGAGCAAACGGCACCGGAGCAACACCAGCTGCTGGAGCGGGGCACAGTGGAAAGGTCCAGCTTCTGGATTTAGCAACATTTGACAGGTGGGAGCTTGTTGAAGATGAAGGGCTGCGCGTCTATGCACCGTAGCGTCAAATCTCATTCACTGTTTTCCCCCTCAGAGCTACAGACTCTGAGGTGTTTTTATTTAGCAGTTCAGCGGACTGAATCTGATGCATGAAACGTCTGCAGCTCAGAGGATCTTTGCACTGTGTGTGGAATCCCTGTTATTTGAGACTGTGTGTGTGTGTGTGTGTGCACTCTTTTTACGTTTTGTGCTTTTAATGGCTAAATTATTCACAACAGGATAGAAAGAGGAGACAAATCCTCTAAAGTCAGGACACGGTTCCAATTGTTGCTTTTACAAGGACACAGTGATGAAATATTGCAACACTTTGGGAAATGCACCTATTCTCTGTAGTTAGGATAAAATGAACTTGACATTACATGAAGACCTGAAAATCATGACTTTACTGTTGAGATTTATATGAGGATGATGGAGGTCGGAGAAATGTCCAACACAGAACACACTGTATGTTTGTGTGCGTGCCTTCCACCTTTTACCTGTTTTTGCAGGATGGAACCAAGTTTGCATTTTTCAGTAATATCAGGAATAGTGAGTGTGTTCGTTCGTAGCATTTTCTGCAGTTAGGTCGACAAAAACCAGTTTCATGAGAAACCAGCAGTGCCAGATTTTGTATTTATTTCCTGAGTAAATAAAGTTTTTATTCAAAAATGATGAAGCTCTTCTGTTTGTTCCATACCTGACCTTTGTTAGCAGGTTAGTAAGTCTTTCTAGTATGTGGTAATGGCAGCAGGTACAGTGACCTGACAGGTATGACTGGTTTCACTCAGACATGCATGGAGACAAACTGACGGATATTGCGAAGTCTTCCACGGCATGTCAGGTCTATGTCCCAGCCTCGAAAGAGTTCAAATGCATGTTACTCTACAGCTGTCAGCCCAGAAGGTGTCCTTGTCAACAGTGATTTACTCTCCACTTAAGTGCATTCCGTGCATATCCTTAATAACCACAAATGAGAAGGCAGTCCACACGTGCAGCTTTGAAACACATATTTAATCGATTTCAGGTCCAACGGAACAAACATGACATCCTCACTTGAGGTTTTCATGCAACCGAAAAAAAGGGAAGAGGTGTCAGGGAAGGAAGAAAGGAGGAGAGGGGCCATATTTATCCAACACAAGGTACCAGTTTGTCAGAGGCAGTGAGAATAGAAAAGGGGCGGAGCTGTGATAGGTTGGTGTTGGGGTAGCAAGTGTTGTTCCTTATCCTACCAGCAGAAGGCAGTGGCACTATAGGATTTCCCCAAAGCAGAGGTGCAGCTGGTTAGGAAGCTCCTGTGCAAACTTTTGGTACAAGTTGGATCAGTGTCATATCATGTGGATGCAGCTGCACCAGCACAGCTCTCAGGCTCTGTAGTAGTTGTTCACTCGGCCACCGCTGCACACATTCCAGTTTGTGAGGTAGTAACACAGTTAATAAATCACCATTAGACTGATGCTGTATTTCAGGCTGATATTGGACTTTTCTTTCATAATTGAATCTGGTTTGAGTGTCATTTCTGACCATTGAACACAAAGTCATTTTCATCTCTCACGGCAGACAGAGAAATCATCCATGTGCAATGAACAATTTTACTCCGCACATTCCCCCCAATGTGTGAACTGAAGCCCGTCCAGCTTTATGAAGCCTCTAACACAGATAAAATACTTTAATTATTCTGGGTTTTAATGATTTTTTTTTATTGTCGAGTGTAAAAAGGATTTCCTAAAATCAGAAGAATAAAATAGAGGAATGAAAACTGAGACCTTGTCCGCTTTTCTCTGAAGTGAGGTCATATTCAAATTTTGTATTCAGACCATTTTGAAATAGATTACTATACAGAAATATCATTATTAAACCTTATCCTACTTAGAGTATCAGGACAAAATCTACTCATTACACAAAATACCCTTAATCACTGTTATAATTTCACATTATTGATGTATTAAGCAGTTATTTAGTGTTGTTAGTTTGGTGGAACTATTTTTAACTGCTACTACAACTGTTTTATTACTTTACTTCTAAAACAATACATAATATTAAACTAATTCTATGTTTGTATGTGAATTCATAATCTAAAAAACGATACTATACTATAATTAACTTAAAGTAAAAAAGTCCATGTTTATAGAGGTTTAATGAAGTATAACATTAAAAATGTATTTTACTATTGTACTGATACAAGTATGAAAATGTACCACAAATACTCATAGTATTTGTATCAGCCAAGAATAAAGAAATTCCATTATCATATCAATATTAAATGTCCAAAGAATATAAAGTATCCACTGTTTCTGAGTCAGAAACATGATGGGTTTTTTGCTCCAATCAGTTTTAGTTTTTTCACTTTGGCCAATGGTTACATGTGTCACAGACAGAATTTATAGTGTGTTTATTTCCAAAAACAGAAGGTGGCAACAGAGATGCGGCAACAGGGCCTTACATGACTTATACATGAGAGAGGTGCTGGCATCGCTGCGACCAGTGGCTCTGTTTACACGTGCACAGGATTTAGGATGGAGGTGTTTAATTGTGAAACATGTTTTGTTCAGTAAAGGCTTTGTTTTAAAACTCTAATCTCACACAGTTGAAAATAAAATACTTTATTTGATTAGAGAAACCGATTTGATGCCGTGTTTCCAAGTTCTTCACTTTCTCTGTCTCTCAATTTAGGAGCTGCATCCTCCGGAGGCTGCATTTGAAGACTCATTGTGTCACAGTGGCGTGACTATACTGTCCAAGGCATCCTCCAAACACATCCTTCCACCCCCGAGAAACGAAAGCTCCAACAGGGGATCCATGGCACCAGAAAGTGACGAGACATGCAATGATGCTCTAACTCAACTGAACAACAAAAGGTGCACATGTAAAAAAAAAAAGGGGCATTAAAACTTTCTTGGCGTGTCAAACTTCAGCTCTATTGCTGGGTGAAAGCAATAAGGGCGGGACAGGCTGGTGACACCAATCACAGAGAGCCTCTGTAGACCAGTCTCCTTTTGGTTCGGTCTTAGAGGTCTACATAGACGGCCTCCTCCGAAGGATGCAGCCCCTGAATTAAGCTTATGTGAATCAAAAATGGCAGAATATCAATATATAATTAAAGATGTCTATTAGTGCTAATATAAACACAGCCACTGGTTTCTGTCAGGTTACGGCACAAGTCTGATAAAAGCCTAGAAAATCCAAATCAGAACAAGTACGTGAGCTCTCTCCCGTCTCATGACACCTGTCCCTCTATGTTACTGCTGTGTGAGCGGACTGATCCAGTTTATAAAAGCATTCAACTAGAGAGGGATGAACGAGCCCTTAGTGAACTTTCCAGTCTGTCAGAGGAAAAGAGAAAGAGAGAGAAGGGGGTTGGGGGTCGGGGGGTCAGGGTTTGTCCCAGAGACAAATATTCAGTCTGGTACGTCTGGTACGCTGCTGAGGACGCTGCAGAGCTACAAAAGGATACCGCTGTGCCTTAACTGGTTTTGCGTATTCTTGTCGTCGTCTAGATCGCAGGAACATGCAGTGTAGTGACGGATTGGGACTCTTCAAGTTTACTACTTGTCGATAAAGAACTTTAAAATACTTACAGATTAGGAAACAGCACGACATGATAATACTGTAAAAGTTAGCTTCAAGCATACAGCGCAAATTCACATGCACACACACATTCTGACCTAAATGCGCGGCCACACTTTTACAAAGACATGGCGGCTCAAACGATATGTGCTACTGGTGTTTTTGATCAAATGCATCATGGGACTTCCTTATTTCACAAGATTTGCGTATCCTCCCACTTGAACACAATTACAAAACTCCCAACGGCTTCGAGCTCAGCGGACATGTTCTCTCCCTCTGTCACTGTAAACTGCAACATCCTTAACAACTTATCAAAGTAAAAGCACAATGATAAGAATAAAAATGAATAAATAAAACAACATGGAGGAAAATCATATGTACAAATGAAAAACAAAGACATTTGAAATTTAAAAATCAACAATAAGCAAGTAGATATTTAATAAAAACCTAATGGGATCTTAGGCCTTCTTTTTCTCAGGGAAACATCATATAGCAGAAAAATCCCAATAACCCCACCCACCCACCTTTTACTCCCTAAACCCATTCAGATCAGACCATGATGCTACGCTACATAATACTGCCTTTCAATGCCGGAGTGTGTGCACCATACATGAAGACAAACGTACTTCATCTTATGATATACATAGACATACAGTATGTACATGATATACACGGGTCGTGGAGGAGAAAACGAGCAATCTCCCTGGAAATCTGACGTTCCAGAGAGAGAGAGAGAGAGAGAGAGAGAATCTTCCCCAAATATAAAAATGAAAGTAAAACGACAGTGATGACCTTTCTTATCCTCTTTAAAATCCCTCCTCTATCCTTGCACAACATAAAAAAATATAAGATGATATGAGGGATGAGAACCATCATGCATTGATTTTTTTTGTGACTGGTTCAGTAGCAACAGAGAGGAGGTGAGGAGGAAAAGGGGGGGTCGCAGCCAGGCGGGAGTTCAGAACTGGGAGGCCGAGCTGGGGTCGCACTGAAGTAGCCGCACGATGGAGGGGTCGCTTTTGGCACCTTTGATAAACTCCTCCAGGGACAGTTTGCCTGCAGGAAATATAACGAAATATTCATTAACAAACACAGGGATTTTCAATATTAATGTTCTTGGTTTAGCACGTTCACAATGATGACCTGAAGGATAAACACTGATCAACCACAACATTAAAACACGCTGCAAGTCCGACATTAGCGTTCAAAAGCAAAGCACTGATGTTCAGAAGCTTCACAGGGACGTCAGCTCATATAGAAGTTAATATTCTTAATTACAATATAATCAATTTTTAATTATGGACACTGCATGAAAACTAAGTTGGTTGTTCACATATGAAATATTGAAATTAGCCAGTTTCTTGGAGAAAGCCTGAGAGATGAGCACTTTCTTGACTGAAGCTTTTGGCAGAAGTTTACTTTCCTTTTTCTTGTGAATCACTAGAGGATATACTGTATGTTCTATTTCTTTGTTTGGTGGAAAGCAGTATCTTGGGATAGAGGGATGGGCCAAATGTTCTGTATGACAAGAAGTGAAAAATACTAAAATAAGTAGTCCTGAATTATTACCTCTGTCAAGGAGGTTATGTTTTTATCAGCATTTGTTTGTTTGTCAGCAGGGTTACGTACAGAAACGTGCTCCATGAAGATAAATCCAGATCCTGATCAATATTTTTTTTTTAACATTGTAAGAAGTTTTTCAAAAGTTTTTGCTGAATTCTCAGAAAAGAATTCATGGATTTTTAGGCCAGGGAGGGGTAGGCCTCAGCGGAGGTGTGTGCTCTACTGAGCGCCAGTCTAAAACTTGTTTGAGCACATTTCAAAATGTCTTTGTTTCATTTGTCTGCTGCTCATCACTCCTGTCCTCTGTTCTATCTCTGCAGCATATTCACCCCTCCATGTTGCCATTTCCTCCACTCACCATCATTATTGAGGTCCATTTGTCTGAAGATCTTATCCGTCCTCTTCTCTGGCGTGGATTCATCCTCTGGCATCTTCATCACAGATGACACCATCTTGTAGATGGCCTGAGACACAGGCGGCGGAGCAGGCGGGAGGGAAAACAAGAGAGAGAGACATGGTGGGTGGGGGCGAGAGAAAAGAAAAGATAAGTGAATTCAGGACAGCAGGGATCCATTAAGGAGGCTCAGTGGGGAGAGAAATAAAACACGAGTGAAGTGAAAAATAAAGTCACTGCAGCTTTCGAGATGCTGATACACTGACATTTGTTATTCCTGATGCTCAGAGCTGCACCCTGGGCAGCTTTTACACAAAAACCCACACAGGGTCTGCACGCCTGTAGAAACACGCGATCATACCAGACAGAAGCGACAGAAGCCGCATGTGCCAACAGGCTGGGGCAGTCATGGTGGTGGGTGGGGGTGAACACTCAGAGCTTATACTGTATTGATCTGATACGAGCGCCTCCCGTCTCCCGATAGCATTAAATGAACCTCTGCAAGTGATCACGGAGAGTCTGCGACGATCAGCTGGCCTCAGGCACAGAGTTACCGTCAGCTTATGTGCCCAATAAATCTCTTGCATTGGAAAAATAGTGTGTAAAAGTGACGGTGGATCAGTCTCACAGCAAAGCAGTCAGGAGGCAAGGTAGCTTAAGCCCCTTGTGTTTTCAGTGAAATTTCATCTCTTGGAGAACAAAATGAGAGCTCATATGTTTCACAATATCAAAAGTGTATACTAAAAGGACAATGAGGATGACTCACAATTTCTGTCGTAGTCTATTTTATCATTTGACTTTAAATCTGCTTTCAGACATGCACTGGACTCCAGATAATCTCCTGAATTTATCCAGAGGGGCTGTATGTGAGAACGCAAAGGGTGAGCTTATGTGGAGAAAACAGAAAATATCTCAGGATGAAAAGGAGGTGTCATACACGTAGAAGGGGCTGACGCTGATGTCAATGTGCTGGAAACAAAAACGTGATCTCCACGGCTGAATTGACACGTTACATCCTGCCACCTGAATAATATACCACCCCCCCACCGTCTGAAACATGTGAAAGACGTTTTGACGTTTGCTGTAGTTCATGTCTGAAAACAACTAAACAAAATGACTTGTTTGCTGCTGGACAATCATTTTCTACATGATTTATGTGGCAAACATTTCCTGCTCCGTCCACTTTTTTCTATCAACAGGAACAGGTTGCCATGCCATATTTTGTTGGACGTTTCTTTTGATTACGATGGCGATGACAATGTGTCCGATAATGTGGTGTAAAACAAATTTGACTTCCTCCACAGTGACGATCTCTCCGTCTCTGTCGGCGTGCAGTGACACAATGGGCCCCACCTCTCTCATCCACTGGTGCGTAACCTTAATGAGCTTGAGGATAATCCCAGTATTCTGCACACTCAGGGATAAACTCTTGTTAAATTTAACTCACTAATCCATGAGCACTCGGAGGTGCACGAGCACACACACACTCAGCACACACACAGACACACACACACCACATACAGGAAGATCTTACGTCCAATATCCCCACATATGAGTGTCTTTATTTCTTCTCTTGAACAGGGAAAGGATTACATGCAGCACTAATGCAGACCTGTACTTAACCGTCTTCACAGCAACAGTCTTGCAATCAGCACATTAAGTATAACCCATGCATACTTAAACAAATGTATTAACTTGCATAATTTAAGTGAGCACTTATTATATAAGTAAGCGCTCTATTTCTGTCCAAGTCGACATATGATTGGCTGTAGAATGTTTCTAGGAAATGTGAAGGTATGTTGGAAATGCTGCAGTTAAGAAAATGACCAGCTAAACTGCACCATGGAAAGCAAAGTTAGGTTTGGTGACTAAGGGATTAATGACACTGTTGCTCACATGTCACTAATATTCAGATCCACTTGTTTGTGCATTTTATCTTGAGCTTAAATCTAACCTGTTTTAAAGACACACGGGTCTGGCTGTCATAAAAGATGGAAATGGATGAATTATGGCAAATGTAGGATCTTTCACACATTTGTGAATTTTAAATGGTCTGTATTTCTTATATATCACTTGTCTCGTATTGATGACCACTCAAAGAGCTTAACAGTACAGTTTTACCTTTCAGTCATTCACACACATTCATGAAGTGCATTTATGTGCAGCTCTTTCTCTACACGGCACAGCCATTTGTGCTCCAGTGTTTTGCCAAAGGACACTTGGCAGATCCAGTGTTTTGGTGTTTGACCAAAGGGAGGGACTCAAAGTCAGGACGTATCAGCCACTGTACCAAATAGGTAAAATCATTTCCTCTGGCCTCGAAAGCAGATGTTGTTGTTTTTTTGTTTTTTAGCTAAAAAATCCCTGAGTAGAAGTGCAGTCTTTTCAAGAATTAAAAATACCCTGCGTGCTTTTTTTTTGTCTAAATGCATTAACTCTTCCTTTGCCCCCAACCAGACTACATTACCCATGGGTCCCTTGCTCACCTGTACAATCTCCAGCATCTCGTCGCGGCTGATGTACCCGTTTCCGTCCAGGTCGTACATGCTGAAGGCCCATTTCAGCTTCTGCTCCAGCTTGCCCCGTGACGTGACGCTCAGGGCGATGATGAACTCCCGGAAGTCTATCGTCCCGTCACCATTGGTGTCAAAGGTTCGGAAGACGTGCTCAGCGAACTTGGAGGCATCACCGTAGGGGAAGAAATTGGCGTAAATCTTCTTGAACTCTTCAACATTCAGGGTTCCGCTGGGGCAATCCTTCAAGAAACCCTGCCGGAAGGGAGAGAGACGACATGCAGTAGGACATAGGTAAAAATAAGTCCCTTAATTCTCCAGGACAATACAATACATCTCTATAAGATAATTATTACTTTAGCAGACACTCCTATTGTAACTAGCAGATAAAAAGCCTTGTCAGGGGCAGTTGGGGCAGTCACATTTCTGTCACAAACTTTGACCAGTAAAGGTTACATTCAGTTAATGCTCTATTCTGGACAGATTGAAGAATTGATTTTTCAACAGGAGCTTGGCCTTGGATAGTCGAAGGCAGTTCTACCCCTTTTTCAAGGAATCACATTTGATAAAGCACCATTGTGCCTGAGAAGAAAAGGGAGGTGAGAGTCATGTCAGTCTGCATCTTTGTTCTGTCTCCCTCTTTTTTTCCACCTCTTTTTTACAAAGGCTTTTAAGACAGAATCAGAAAGGTGACAGAGTCATTGTCCAGATCTAAAGGCAGCACTTTTTTTGATCATCATATTAAATGTTCTCTGACATGAAGGTGGAAAGCTAATATGACTCCTCATAAAAAAATGTCATTGGCAGATATTCAGCAAGAGAGCTTCACAACTTGAAGTGAAGCTTTCTGACTCAAAGCTCAGATTTATTGCTAATAAATCCCCCAAAAGACAAGCTGGATGAATTCTCATAGACCCTAGGCACCTTTACATCCTGTGAAATATATTATGCAGTTTGCATGACATCTCCAGCATCTAGGAACTGTTAATCTGCTTAGAGCAGTCAGTTCTCAGGTAACTTCAGATGTCTTAAGCAGAAGTCTTTACTGGAAGCTTGAGGAAGGTGATGAGCAATACGGATGTGAACAGGCTCACACATGTAATGTCACCTAAAATCTGAAATCTGTTGTCCTTGCAGGGCATATTTAAGGATATTGCCGTGCTCGGACCTTTTGAGGTGAGCAAATGCGATAGTTGCTGCCTCCAGTGGAAATGCATGGGTGGAAATTCCCACGACGAAGGATCTTTCAACTTCTGCTGGTGAGTATAGAACAAACAGCTGTTTACATCATTATGCTGGGATGTGGGCTCTAGCTTGTGCACAAAACAGTGAGTTAGTGAGCCATGAGTAGCATTCAACCACAACACTGAAAACTAACCCAACTCTCATGGAATCTCGTGGATAGACTGTAAGATGGATGATGTGTCTCTTCTTTCCTCCTACTATCCAGAAATGAAGCCAAATTATCTTGGCTGAGAACAAGGCCCTCTTGCACATTTGCACATCTAGCGATCGGGAGAATGGTACCACAGTAGCGAGGACCTGCCCATATACACACTCGACCAATCGTGAGTCAGTCTTAGCTGTCAATCATGATGTTTTACCTCATTTTTTATAGCATCAAATAACTAATTAAAACCAAACGTACTGGAAAAATAATCACCTGAAAATACATCACTGATAAACTACCTAAACAACAGAAACCATATTTGAAAAAAAAAAAAATGTACTTATACTTTTCCAGTTTGGTTCATGTTCCATCTCCTAACATGGAGGAAGCGTGATTTATGACCCGTACTGCAGCCAGCCACCAGGGGGCTTTTTGGGAGCTGTCATGGCAACCCTCTTTACACTCCATGGAAAATTCTATTGTACTCAATTATATAAAAGTCACTAACTTGAACCCCCAGCCTGGAGTCCCAGTCCATTTTAACAATTTGACCCTGATGGCTATGGAATCTGCCATAGTGTTTTCTCCACCACAACCTTGACACTGACATTAAGCTTGTTTTTCGGGCCTTCTTATGCAGGAAGCTTAATACTAACTAAGACCTAAGACCGACAAATGGAAAGATTCCTTCACAATCATCATCATCAGCATCCACAGTCAGTGTGAAGAGACCCTGGGTCAATAAGGCTTAAGTCACAGGTCAGGGAAGTGACGGTTCGACATGTGCAGCCCTGATTCAGGACAGCTCACACAGATGTTCCATAGATCTAATCCATGTATAAAGCCATATAGCTGTTACACAAACACACATCTGTGCACACACGACGGTCAGTTCACTTTGGCACTTTATCATGCTAAGATCTAATTCAGTCTCCCCAGTGGATTAATAGACTGGGAGCGGGTGGAGCTCTAGCCAGGACAGAGGCAAATGTCACATTGAAGGCAGCTGTCGGTTTTAGTAATTACTCACGAACATGACTTTACTGAGGAAGTTCACAGATTCATTTAAGCGCACTGTGTTATGTTTATTTCTCAAAAACATAATTGTAAGGATATTGTTTGGTGTGTGCTTTATAACATACAGTGTTTTCAGTTGTTATTAAGTATTCATCTGTGTTGACAAGTGTGACCAAAGGGATATTTGCCCTTGACTGAGGTGTACAGCTGACCTTTGACCTCAAAGTTAACACACACACACATTAACAAACGTTATTAAGTCCCGAAAAACTGCATAGTATTCAGATCTTCTCCTTAGAGCTGCATTCATGTGGAAAATCCACTGTGAATTCACCCTGCATTTCCCCTCAGCTCTTTTTTATAGACAATTTAACTTTGTTTTGTTTTTATGGTCTGTACCTTTATTTGTTTTGGTTGCCTCTAACTGCTCTCATCAAACTTCCAGCAGCAGATAGTTGCTTTCAGGAAAAATAAATAGTTGCTGCTGAACATAATGTTGCATGTAGCAGCTAAAGAGGTGGAGAACAACACAGAGCTAAAAGGAAAAAGAAAAAACAAGAGCTCACATTTATGTGGTATCATTCATTTTGACTTGAGATGAATTTTGGTAAAGTTAGTTAAGTTGTGGCTCATTACTGTTCACTTAATTTTATCTATAACGTCATTATCATATCATAATCATATATTTTGTATTCAAAGTGCAATTACGTTACAACTACTGCTGTCAAAGACGTAATAAATGAATATGTCAAATCTAGAGTTATGATTTTGTGCTGTCCCAAAAATGTCCAGTCTCTGCGTAACGAGTCGTGTTTGCGTACCTTGTACCACTCCTGTAACTCGTGGTCGGAGAACTCAGTATTCTCCCGAAGGTCCTGCAGCATCTCTGGCCGCAGTTTGCTGTTCTGTTTACCCATGGTAACACGACAGGACTCTCGGTTTCCTTGACGACAACAGCAACTACAGCTCTGGCCAGTCCACTTTTCACACCTGTCAGTCAGAGATAAAGAAACAGGAGGTCAGCAACAATTAGAAAGAGAGGAGGATGAACTCTGGGGACGCATGAGAACGGAAAGCAGGTGGTGGAGCCACAGATAAAAAAATATAGGGAATTATAAATGAGGATTTATGAAACTAGAATAAGCATTACCTTCACTTGAAACATATGTTTTCAGCAAGTAAACATTGGAAAAGTATTTTTATACAAAGAATTGCTAAAGTGACAGCATGACTTTGTCCATTCACTCAATGACTTTCTGCCTCTTGTAATGAAATCAAAATGAGCCCTGTCACCGTGTCACAGTCCCCTTAACACGAGATGTTATGCAACTCAGCGAGAGCTGCTGCATTACATTTGCAAAACATTAAATAATCCTTAACGCACCCCCAGTGACGTCAAGTGCAAACCCACTGATCACATTTATGGGTTTATCTGGCCATCTGTGTGTTTGTGTTTGTCATATCAGCAGTGTGGCATGTTTGTGTGTGTGTGTGTGTGTGTGTGTGTGTGTGTGTGTGTGTGTGTGTGTGTGTGTGTATCCAGATCTCCTAATCTTTATTTCGGCCCAACCTGCTTGACAAAACATGATTCCAGTGATGCAACTCTGTCCCAAAACCGTTACTAGGAAACCAAGTCTTTTAACTTCCACCAATTTGTCCATTAATAATACTGTCATTAATGCGTCTTAAGTGGGATTTCCAGGAAATAATTAATAGATTGTAATAAAGAATGATCATTTTAAAAGAAACATACTGGGAAATATGCCAATTTGCTTTCTGGCAGAGAATTTAAAGAGAATATTGATAGATGGCTATATCAGCACCCCGATAGCTGAGCATGAAGAGCAATTAACAATTAATTGAATGGATCATACGAACATTTTTAAGATGTTAAATCCCCTAAAACATGTCTGGGGAACCCCTGACTCTTAATGCAGCAAAAGAGACTATTCATAAATACAATAAAAGAAACTCAGAAATAAAAGAACCTCAGGACAGCAGTTAAAATGGACTGAAAAAGGAAGAAAAAACACATCAAATAATAGACTATGTCCTTCAGGGTGGTCCCTATTGGCTGTATGCCTGTAAGAACATGGGCAGGGTGAACTTGCTGCAACTCATCACTGAAAGGCATCATCTATCCAAACATTATCAGTAACGCATATTGTTTGAGGGTGCTGGGGAGGCTGGAGCCAATCCCAGCTGACATTGGCTTAGTGGCGGGTAAACTCAGAAAGCATTGGCCACCATAAGTTACTGGTCAAATCCAACTAAGTAAACCTGTAGTAGCTCAACTCCTGAGCATACTGAATCGAGCGATACATTTGATGCCCTGTCCACACTAATGCAGATATTTTACAGAACAAACTTCCTCCTGTGCGTTTGGGCCGCTCGTCCACGTACATGTTATTTTTACAAATGCCTTCCAATGCAAAACATAGCATTTGGGATGCGGTGATGTCACTGCTTACTTTGGGCATGCCCACTGTTGCTTTGTATAATGTGCATGCACCAGAAACAACAACAACCACACGCTCAAAATTTTATTGTGAAGGATTATTGGTGGAGAGTTTATCGCAACCTACTGGCAAAGCATGTTTGCTTATCAATCAGCATGTAAACAATGATATGATATGTATCCAGCATGGTGGATTCAGTTCATGTATCATATGTATTATTTGGTATATTAATCATTAATTTGTGTTATTTTTGGTTCATATTCAAAAAATCTGATATGTTCACACGTTAATTAATATGATACGACTGAAGCGTGCTGATTTGACACTTAATATAGACTGAAAAGGTTTGTTTAAAAAAAAGAGAGGAACAAACTTGTACCTCGTTAATCTGCTACCATGTACTAGATGTCTAATTAGCCTGTGTTCAGCCGTCAAAGTGTTTGCTTTCTCACAGGCTTGTGTGCATGTGTGTGTGTGGTGATTCAAATTACAGTTTCACAGCAGCTCAAACACTCCGATGAGACTTGTCTGCCCCGTCTGACCTCAAATCTCTCCTCACTCGTGCAGGGCAATCGACCAACAACTTTGCATGTATACGTGCTTGTGTGTGTGTGTGTGTGTGTGTGTGTGTGTGTGTGTGTGTGTGTGTGTGTGTGTGTGNTGTGTGTGTGTGTGTGTGTGTGTGTGTGCCTGCCTGTTTGTGTTTCTGTGAACTTGACAAAAGTCAAAGTGTGCGCGTTGCCTGGCGAGAGCTTCACGTACACAGAGACAAAACCCATGCGCCTGATCGTCTCTTTACTCCGCTAATACAATTAGACTCATATTAAGTCTCTCATCCTGAAGACATTAGAACAAATGCTTGTACACTGACAGTAATGATTGCAGCCAATTCCCAGGCTACTGAAGGGAGGACCATCAATTGTGATTTCCTCCTCTGTGTTTGGAGGCACGCCGAGGATTAGGAAACATTGTAATGGTACTTTGCCATCTGGCATAAGAGTCTTTTGTCCAAACTGTGCATATGATTTACTAGAAGTCAAACTTCTCCTGTTCTTTTTCCAAAACCACAAGAAAATTTAATTTCCTATTATTATATTTCTGTCCAAAGAAGACGTCTGGTTGACTGATTGGTGTATTTTGTAAAACATTTCGTCTTTCTGCTTTCATGCAAAAATTGGTCTTCCCACTACACTGCATTTAGACAATAATTGGTTTGAGTGTACACACTTTCCATACACATCTTTCTATTTTTTCTCAATCAAAATACCCTAGAGGCCCCCTCAGCTTAGTGGGTCAGTCTTTAGCCATGTACACAATCTTAGAACAAAGACAGATGCAAATTAATTTACTGCTCAACAGTAATTGAGGGATGTCTACAGCGCTGAGAGCTATATGTGAAATCAACAGGTCTTGCTACAATGCAGTTAATTTGTGTGCTTTAGCTGAGCAGGCTGAGAATGGACTAAGTGCACTGCTGTGCCTCAGATGATTGGAAAACACACACACATCAAACATGCACTGATGCACACAGTTTTTTTTGTACCTGCACAAATTGATAATAGCTCCCAACGCTATCCAATTATCAGGTGGAGAACGCAGCCACATAACAAACAGTAAGCACCTCTGCTTGTGTGTGTGGCTCTGTGGGCTGCTGGGTTGGGGTGAGAAGGACGAAAGGCTTGGACGAGAGGACGAGATTTAATTGGAGGGATAAAGATGCTTTCATTAGAGCTACTAATGCTTCCTGATGACGGACAGACATTAATAACAGAGCGAGCCTTCACCTTAGCTGACTCATAGCAAAGTGAATGAAAAGAAAAGTAGTATTTCATCGAACAAATAATGTATACAGTATGTACCGCTCTACTGACGTGTGTATAGTTTACATTAGCGATGGAGACTTTGAATTGGAGGTGGGTGGCACTGATGTACAGTGGCTGTCCCTTGTGACTCAACCTGGCAGCCAGCTGTGTGGAGTTTGCATATTCTCTTCTCAGTTCAAAAACATGCAGCTTAGGCTAACTGGAGATGTGACTGTGGGTGTGAACGGTTGTTTGTCTTTGTCAGTCCTATGATACGGTGGCGCCGTGTCCAGGGTATGCTCCGCCTCTTGCCCAATGTCAGCTGGGATTAGCTCCAGCCCCTCCTGCGTCCCTCAAAGGATAAGTATTGTATGGATAGATGGATCCACTCTTCTTCCCTGAATTTCTCCTCTCAGGTTACATACATGCTACCTCATTTTAAGAGTGATGCATTCTGGGGCGGTATGCAGCATGAAAGAAATAACTGCTGATGCTGATTTGAACCACAACAGTCCCCCAAAAGTGAAGCCAAATCATCTTGATCACCATTTAGGCTTCAACATAGGTCATACAGTCTACCTCCTCCATGTCAGCAGATGGAAACAAACTAAAAAGTCCAAGTACACATGAAAAACACACTTTGAAAACACAGTTCCACGGTACTGGCCCAAATCAAAACCGTATCTGGAATACTTTAGCTTCATTTTTGTACAACAGAAAGAAGGGTGAGCACTGTCCAGAGCATCTCCATGTGCATACTATGATTTGACTATTACCACTGCAAACCTATCATACAGGTACAACATGAAATGGCCTGCTAGTTAAGAAACTAACTTGATTGTGATACAGAGCGGACCAGAACATACAATAACAATGTCATTAAAAACCACAATATCTACTAAGTGTTGTTACTATGTGAACTGGAAAATACAATTAACATGGAGGAGGTGTTAGATCATCTTTACAGGTTAGAAATAAGCCCTTAGGGATCAAATCACAGAAAGTTACAGTGTAACCTGACAGTAAAGGCTGCCAGTGGTCTCCACACCCACACAACAAATCCTTTCCTAACACAGTGACCTTTTCACTCTGGTCACCACTCTCTCCCTCCCCTCCCCCTTGTTATTTTTCCTTTCTTCGACCCAGCTGTGACCTGTGAAAGCTCACTGTGAGCCTCCCTGTTGGTCTGAGAGGCACAGTAAAGTAAAAATGCTTCTGTTGTCACCAGCCAGTTGTTTTAATCCCCTGCGGCCCCAAAACCCAAACCCTGTTTCCAATCCGTTCTAACTATCCCTTCATCTTTTATCCCTCCATCCTAAGGCATAAGACAATAATCCAGCCCTCCAGTATAAATGACCCCAGTGGTTGTTAGTTATCGTTGTCCAGCCCCATTGTGCATCAATGCACATTGACAGACTGTCCTTGTGAACATCTGTTCAACCAGCTACTAAGCTGGACACAAACCTCTGGGCTGATTACCCTTGCACAGAGGAGGAAGAGGAGAAAGCGGAACAGAGACAGTCACAGACAGTAAGGACATCTATAGCCCTGTTTATACCTCCTTTGTATTATCAACACATGTGAGCCATTTAACCACAATAAAGCATTTACTTTGATAATGACAAGATTTCAAACCTGTTTTGAAGTTCTACTGAGTTTTTTTTTGTGAGTATTGGACAGTAATGTATTACTTCATTTTGAGTAGTGAAAGGGATTGCAATTTGAATAT